GCCGCCCTTGGTCATAGAAATGATGTAATTTGAATATAAATTATTTATAAATACGTATGTCAAGTTATATTTTTATTACTACGTAAAATATATTTAAGAGTTTACGACCACTGTGCCGGGTGAGACGTTGTTGAAACAAAAAAAGTTATGCATTCCATCACGTACATAAACAGTGTCGTAATTCACCAAGTGCAAATCAGCAAATTCGTAAAATTTTTGTTTATTTTGAACAATCCGGATAATCGAAAATCCGGATAATGGAGGTCCGGATAATGGAGGTTCTACTGTATTTATATATTATATATATTTATATATCTAATTTATATATATATAAAATGAGATCTTATAATACTATTCAGAATTTTCCAATATATTATTCAGTTGCATGCATTAATAAATGGAAAATTCTGTATAGTATTATCAGATCTCATTTACAGAATTACGTAATTAGAAAATTTTTCTTGCAGATTAAATAAAACATGAAAAAGATGAAGATATATAGAAATAAAAAATACGAATATTAATTTTAAGTATTTTCCCGTTTTTACTTTTTCATTTATAAAAATTTATATTTTTTCACATGTTTCTTCTGTTAAAATCTATTATTAAGAAACGTAAAAGCTTAATTTTTAAATGAAACTTTAATATACTTTTATTCAAATTCCTCTGTTTAATGTGCATGCGATATTATACTGATGACATACTTTTCTAAATTATTCAATATTGCACAAAATTAATCGCATTATTTTATTTCAGCACAAATGAACTTTTCTCATTTATAAGATATAATTCTTACATTAATGGACATCCAAAAAAATCTAATAGATTTTTGTATTCCTACCTAATAGAAAGAAAGAATTTAGTTCAAAATTTATATACATATATAAATTTTTTACTAAATTTTAAAGAATATTTTAGGAAACTTTGATAGAATTTCTTTCAATATTTGAAAAATACTCTTCTATATTACATTCGGAAAATGTATTGAAAGCTGTGACCATTTATAATGAAAACTCACAGTACCTACAGATTCGCATTCTACATTAATACTTCAGTAAACAAAACAAAGTACTCGAATAAGAATTAAAATGAAAATAACATTTTGTTACTTTAAAAATATTACATTTTTGAGATATGTGATATAAATTTTTCATAAATCTATCATTCAAGAAACAAAATATTTTCAAACTTTAATGTTATCTCATTCATATGCTTTTGTTTAATACACATGTTACATTATATTCATGACATATTTTATTAAATTTTAAATTTATTCAATATTTTATAAAATTGATTATTTTTTATATTTATTATACGCATGAAAATAATAAATATAAATACAAATGAGTTTATTGTTATTTATTGCTTTTTTTACAGTGTAAAAACTTCAATTTAAGTTATTACTAACTTTATTAAATAATTTGAGGAAAATCAATTTGATAAAGTTAGTAAGTGAAAAATAACATTACTTCCATACCATATAACAGTTTGTAAACATTAAAAATTTTTATTTAATAAACTTGATTATAAAAACAACATTCAAAATTGCTGATATAATGTGTTTTGCTGCGAATTTGGTAATAAATAATCTTGTTAAACGTTTTCATTTTTTTAATCGAATAAACATATAAATTTGATAAAAATGCACATTTATAATTATATTTTATATAGATATTTTAATAATTATACATTAGTTTAAAGTTTATAATGAGAATATTATAACTTCTGTCTCATTAAATCATTTACTCTATAATAATTGTAGATTAAATGTTACAATAAATTTACAATAATCTTATAGGCTGTAATTCATATTTATAATTATTATTGTAATTTTACAATAAAATTTGAATAAATTTAGTTTTATTTTATTTCAGTTTTATAACATTATAATGAATTATAATGTTATAAAACAATACAGTAGAGTCCCGAAAACTCGGCCTAATGTGGACCAAAAGGTGCACGAGTTTGTGAAAATGCTGGCTTATCGGGAATGGCGTTAAAAAAAATAATTACGTTTGTGTAGTTCTCAGAAAATACTGTACTGTATTTGTATGTATTGGTTGCTTGAGAATACAACAAAGAGTAAACTGACCAAATACCCTTAAACAAAGGAAAAATACGTACAGTACTTTATGAAGGCATAGAGCCTTTACTACATGAAAATGAAAATTAATGAATACACTGTGTACAGTAATTTACTTGATAAGACAGACCTCAGAAAAATACTTTATGAAACATAAATCTGTCTATAATGAAAATGAACTAGGGGTTTTTTCGCCCTGCCAGTGTGCGGCCGAGTTATCCGGACTGCCGGGTTATCGAGTACCGAGTTTTCGGGACTCTACTGTACTAAATTTACTTGAAATTACCGGTATATTTCACAATAAAAAATTAACAAGCTACTTTGACTATAAATCTTGAAAGAATGAAGAATAAAAATGAAGAAGAAATAAAACAAATTAAGACTCTAAGAAAAATGAAACAATTTCAAAAATAAATATTAATAAATTTTACAGTTAATTTTCTAAAAATTTACATTTTTCTGAATTACATTTACACGTAATTTACAGTTTGCTGAAAGTACACCGTTCTTTATGTCTTTTATTCTAATNTTAATCAGATAGATCTTACGGTAGTATTTAAAATTTTTAAACTTTCTGTTATTGATAAGATACAAAATATTATTTTGAATTCAACTGCAAACTTTATTTTTAAGCTTCAAATAAGCAAATTTCATTAATGTCTGTTTAAATTTGCATAAAATATTTTAATCCGTTAAATTTACTTCGCTCTATAAGTTAATCTTAATTATATTAAAAACAAGATGCGAAACTTAATTCAATATGCTACAATTGCCAAATAATATTGGAAAATGATTATTGAGGCCATTAACACGATACTACACTGATGTAATTGCCGCAACGTTAGTCTCAATCGCGTATCTCGCGCCATCTTTTGACAATGTTACAAATTTTCGCTTCTTTTATATTAATTTACTTAAGAATAATAATATTACAAGCCTCATATAGAAATCATTATCTGTTATTTTTTATCGACTAACATAAATTTAAATTAAATTACTTAATTTTTTTTCATTTAATAGGAGCCAGTCAATTAACATGAGTTTTATCCTAGTAATTTCGAACTGTGTCGAAAATAATAAATTTAATTCTCTTTAGTTCCTTAATCTCATTAAATGTCTTTAAGATAAACATTCTGATCTCTTTAGTGAATATTGGTCTTCTATTGTAAATCGAATATTTAAATAGTTCAAATAGCGAATTTATTCTAGAATTTTGCGCATCTTCCCCTAATTCGTTTTAATCTGTGGAGAGAATAATAGCTTAATCTCAAAGATTAACTTGTATTCCCTTTTAAGCTTAGTTTTTCGTATTCTTAGCAACTGAATTACATTATAATGACTTCAATATAACTTCTAGATTTTACTTTGAATTTAAAATTTAATGTCTAATATATGCCTTATATTTTATTTTACTTAATCAAACTCTACATAAAAACTATTTAACAAATCTAACAACGAGTTGCTTAACATTTCCGTCAACAACATTTAAAACTGTATGTGGCACCATCTGTCATGATATTTTATTTAATAAACTTTTCATATAATCAATTATAAAACGACGGAACCCTTATTTTGAGGGTAGATATAAGTTTTATAAAACACAAAACAAAAATTGTAAATGCTAATGACGAGTAAATCTTTATTAAGTCAGACCCTACTCGAGAAATACGACACGACTCTCGTCTATTCCCCACCCCTCAACCTTTAACTACAAAAATCTTTATTAAGTCAGACCCTACTCGAGAAATACGACACGACTCTCGTCTATTCCCCACCCCTCAACCTTTAACTACAAAAATTTAATAGCATCAATAACCTTAATATACAATATAAATTTATAATAACCTTTATATACCTCTCTGTAAAATTTCAGAAAATTCCGACAAAAAGCACGGGAGTTATTAAGCTTGAAAGAGGGTGAACAGAATTGAGCCTCCTCTCAATTGACCCCTAAAATTCTTTAGAGGTCATTTTTTGACCAATCGCCATACTTTCCCTCTGTTATATATATAACAGAGCTTGAAAAGAAAGAAGAAAAAAAAATTAGATGTTAACGTTTATATTTACTCTCATTTCTGAATCACAAAATATTTCAATGCTCTAATTCAGATCGCAGATGTGTTTTATTTTACATGTAATTACTGTACATGTAATTATGTAAATATAGTTTGTGCAGTGAGAGAGTAGACATGAGTCAACCTGAGCAAGAAGGATTTAGGTCAGATAAAAAAAGACATAGGATTAACTCGTGAGTAACGTTAGAATTAAAAGTAAATAATAAAATTTGTAAAAGAAGCAATAAAATTATTTATGATAAAGATGATACAAAGATGTTTTAGAAATGTAAAAATCAAAGCAGCCGAAACAGATCAGATCTATGTCTCAACTCCCAAGGGATTAGCCACATGGCCCCTTCCATTCTTTCATCTGACATAGATTCTTCCAGCTCAGACTGACTCATGTCTATTCTTTGCCTGCGTGGACTATAATCAGTGAACGAGTAGACATTAGTGTTTTTTCAGTTTTATTTCAGGCAAAACTTTTTCTATAAAGAACAATAATTTGATTTAAAAATTACCTACGTTTTAATTATTTGCATTTAATTTCGCAATAGAACATGTAACATAAAACATTTAATTCCGCAATAAAATTAAATATTTGAATATTTAGTTTTATTGCGGAATTAAATGTTTTAATTTAATTATGTAATTATCGCGGCAAAAAAACAAACACAGATAAAAATAAAGTGTTACTTTTTATAACAATTTTTTTAAAAAAAAAACCTTTATAATAAAATTTTCTTTTTATAATTATATCTTTTAGAATAATTACGAATATAACGAAACAATTTCTTTCGCCAAAAATGATTTAATTTTTTTTACATTTTATATCATAAATTTTTATCTTTAGAATGAAAAGTTTTATTATATTTTTTGCCAGTTATGAGTTACAACTATTGATTGGACTTATATGATAATAATAAATAAATTTATAATATTATATATTATTATGTGTTTGAATGCGTGTTTAAAAATCTAAAAACAGAATTAAGTTATTACAGTAGAGCCTCGATTATCCGACTCAATTGGGGACTGGGGTTGGTCGGATAATTGAAAAGTCGGATAACCGAAAAGTATGAAAAAATCCATTATTAGTGTAGTATATTATTATATCCCATGTAATTAGTATATTAGTATATCGCTATTAACCTACTTCGCGTTGAATTTTCATCGATGTTAAGCCTAACAAAAATTTTTTAAAATAATAATCGTCGCTATTGTATCGTTAAAAATTAGAAAATTAAGCCTCGTTTAAATACTGGCTCCTTTTCATGGTCGATCCAGTGTTGCCAGCTAAAACAGGTAAAAATAATATTAAAGTAGCCAAGACATAGCCAAATATTGTAGCCCCACATCACTAGCGGACATTTGAATTTGCCAACTAGGACGGTCGGTTAACCGAGGTGTCGGTTAATCGGGGGTCGGATAATCGAGGCTCTACTGTATTTTCAAAAGTAAAATAAAATACCAAATGCTTGTAATATAAAAAAACAGCGAAAAATTTATCAATCTAAGTGAAAATCGATTAAAATTATAGGTAATTCCTTTCAATTAAAATATGTAGAGCTAATAAATAATTTTTAGGTGTTTTTTTAATCTCAAATTCACTATATTATTTCTTTTAAATCTTTATTTTTATAGTTTGGCATTCAAATTCTATTTTTCTTATATTTAGTCTGGGGAAAAAACATTTTAAGGTGTTTTTTTAATCTCAAATTCACTATATTATTTCTTTTAAATCTTTATTTTTATAGTTTGGCATTCAAATTCTATTTTTCTTATATTTAGTCTGGGGAAAAAACATTTCTTTTCTCCATAATCCATTATAAAAACAACAACTTAAGAAAAGCTATTTTTATCATTGTTGTTTTTCTATTTACAATTCTTGGAGATTTATAAGTTATGTTACATACAGTATGCCATTTTAACACGCTTCTTACGCACAACAGTAAAAATTTTGAACGAGATGAAATTCATTATATCTTTCAGAATATGACTTACTTGTGGAATCTTAAAAAGTCGGAGTAAGTTGGCCACTTGAATCGAAGTGACACTAGAAGCTGCTCCAAGCACCCCAGAAACGATCTTTTGTCGGATACTTGGACTAGATCCATCCGGGCAGCGATATGTCCCTTCGTCTAAATTACTTATGTAACCTGAAAAAAACATTAAAAATAAACAATTCCTAAGTATAAAATCTTTCCGAGAAGATGAATATTTTAGGTTTTCACTCATAAAATAAGCAAAGCTTTTTAGATATGTGAACATACTATTTATTGTTAATAACATGGTTTCGTGTAATAAGTGAGATTACTGATATATTTTTAACTTTTTAAAATGAAATGTAAATGTTAAATATTTTATTTGTATTAAATGTAATGTTAAAAAAATAAAAAAATAGTAATCCAATATACCAATTCAAAATTAATAGCGTTAAGTTTTTTTAATTTGTTAAAATAAAATTTAATCAATTTAAAAAAAACTAAAACCGTAACATTTTCTTTATATCTATAAAGGTAAACGCTACTTTATAAATATTTAGTTTGAAAAATTTCAATTAAAAACTTAATAATATTAAATAAAACAATATATTGTTATATAAACACTTATTAATTAAAATAAATAAAATTTCTAAAATTGCATATAAAAATAGATATTTCTAATGTAGAACAATAAACATTTTTTAAGATTTACATCAGAAACACAAAATCACTTATCAAATTCGTATTTTATAATTTCTTTACATATTTCCGCAATAAATTTTATTTGCTTACGATTTTAGTTCTTAAACATGTTTCTTTTATTATATTTAACATTTTATCATTTTAAACATTTTATTTATAAGCAAATTCGTTTTCCATTCAAACTTTCTACTTAAATAATGGAAGCATCTCACTAGGGAATGGATTTACTAATGCCATTTTTAATAAAATCTGTTATTTTATACATCTTGCCTCTCCGATAAATGTTTATTCTTCAAAAGTCTCTGTTCCTGTAAAAATAATAGCCGATACAAGGTCTTATTTTATTTAAACGTCATGATTAAAGTACATGCTAATGTGAAGCCACGATGGCCGAGTTGTGTGTTAGTGTGTTTGTTGTTTCTGCATTTTCATGTGATTAGGATCGTTATGAATATTTTTCTTTTATGTGTATTTTTTGCATTTCTTCACTTAAATATCTTTATATATTGTGTAGATGATTGATATTAATTAACTCACATAGTAAGTTTTAAACCGTACATGACAGCTGTTTTCCATCATTTTCATTAATTAATTATTATGCATACATGCACGTAGTACTAGAAAATTTGACAGTCGAAAATAGAACTTTTTGTTTCAAAAAGTATACAGTCTAATATTGATAGAATAATATTTGTCTTTCTTATTGTCTTGTTTTCAAAAGAATGGGTCCCTTCCTCTATAACTTAAAGAAATGTTTGCAGAAAGCCGTTTGTAATGAGTCATTGGGCATGGAAAGTCAAAATGTAATGATTATTTTGACAGAAAAGAGGTAAAATTACCGGATAATCAAAGTAAACATTCGAAAAATTCGTAACGCCATCAGGAAACAAGTTTATTCTTCTTAAAAATATATAGTATACTTTACGAAATATTTTAAATGTAATTAAAATATAGTGCAAATATAAATATTTATGCAAATATATTTGTCTTGATATTTTAACTTGTTTCAAAATCCATGTATGGTGTTAAATTCTCTAGATGTCAATTAATCCATTTGCTGTAATAAAATTAATCGAAAAGGCCATTACTTAAAACGAATGATATCCGTTACATGCAGTTTAAAACTTACTACATGGGTTAATATTAATAATTTACACAATCTAAAAAGACATTTAAGTGTAGAAAAATAAAAGTGGGGAAAAATAAGTATAACGAATATACGAACATGAAACCTCGACCTTTCTCACACGCTAAAGCATAATCCAACGCATTAGACAACTCGGTCATCGTTGATTATTATTATCTTCTATTATTATTTCAATAAAAAGTGAAAGATCAAGTATAGTTAGAGTATCGTTAAAACATAATAAAACCATGTACAGGTTTCGCTACAACACGGTTTTCAAAATCCTTTGCACAAAATTTCACAATTTTTAAGTGTACACTCCATTATTCGATATATATATCTTTATTCAATCACCCATGTTGTCTCAGATTTGCCCACGAATTTTAGAATATTAAAATTTTCAAATTATTTTGTGCTTTTCGTCAGGTTTACTATAATGAAAACTGATCTGGCAAGGAAGAAAAAAGTTGCACAAACTTTCCTTTCAACTAGTGTCGTTCTCGTTGATTTTAGACTTTAGCCCTTAATACTGTCACTATTTTCTTTTTATAGAATAATCTTCATATTTAGTAAACTTCATTTAAACATTTTTAGATAAGTGCTTTTAAATGTTTTTAACTGCAGGTAAGCAATTATTCGTAAAATGACGAACGAAATACGGCGGTATCTCGGTACTCGAATAATTCGGTATTCGCTCACAAATTCTGGAAAAAAGTCGTTCGGCACTACTGAACAAACGCGACACGCTAGAACAAATTTTCGATTAATAATATCATTATATTTTTATTTCTTCATCCAAAAAATTTTTATAATAAAAATAAAAAATATGAACATGTATGCCGATACTTCTAATCAACATCAACAAAAGAGCTAAGACGACAGCGATAATTTGTAAAAAGAAAACGCCCTCATTTAACTAAAATTAATATTAACGCGTAATACAGCACTTTTAATTGTTACTTATGATTTAGTTAATTATTGATTGGAAATAAATTATCGATTATTTCAAAAAGCATATTTCTCTTAGTGACAAAACATAATAGTATACTTTTGTTAACTTCTAGAACCTAACTCTATGTTTTGCATTAGTCCTTCGTTTCGTATAGCACGATTCACATAACACGATACTTTTTCGAAACGTAACTACAGTACTGTGTTATATGTTTTACCTGTAGTTCTATTGTTGTAACCTTAAAAATTTTGCAATGACTGTTTTGCGTGCCTTATAAATGTTTTTTTTTTCCATATATAAGTTAATAATAGCTAAGCCTGTATATGAGATACTTTCATTCGTATAAATGTTTCACAACCAGTAATAAAAGTTAAAGCACGATTTATTGTTTTTCTAATAACACCAGATTTTGTCAAATGTTTACTGCTTTTTCAGTTAGCACTTCCAATTTGATAGTTTACTGTTTCAATTAACTAATTTAAATTGATTTTAGTCTTTGTTACTGTACTTTTTTAAAAAACACTGAACATCTACTTTTCCATGTTGTGTCGATTACATTTACGATTATAGCAATCATTTGAATTGACAGATCATTAATATCAAGTCTACAAGGAAAACTGCTTTTTTTTTCGTACGAAGTTCCTAACCTTTGTTGTGTGAGCACACTCTCGTGTACTTTCAATTTGTTTGCTAATCGGGCACACAATAATGTTTTGAAGATTTCTGTTTATTTTCCATTCACCTATTTAAAGACAGTTATGATAAATTTTTCCAGAAGGTGCTATGATATTGGTTACCTTATTATTATCTTAGTAACGGTTGGTCAAGCATAAGTATTTATCACTTGATCTACGAACGCCCAATAAAGTTTTGTGGCTTTGTAGTGTAATTATCTCGTAGTTATTTAGTATTATTTAGTATTAGTAGTAAGTACTTCAGTTAGATATCTGTGACTTCTTTTAACATGAAAGGTAACTGGTATCGCCTCTCTAATACGAGATATTAGAGAGGCGATACCAGTTTACAACCGCTAAGTCCAACTGTGATTGGACTTAGCGGTTGTAATACGATTTTAGCTATACTCGTATGTATTTATGTAAGTTATTAATTAAACTGATTTTACTAACTATTGCTTTGAGAGCAATTAAGGTTAATCCGCCGATTTCAGTATCGTTCTGAATGGTCTACCGGTTCATAGTTCCTGATCAGTTCATAGTTTGAAGACCATATAAATTTTTCTGTGATTCTGTTAATCTTCCTGAAAGCATCTTTTCTAGGAGGTTGTATATTTTTAACAGAAACCAGACAGAAATTAAGATTTTTGTATTAGCTATTTTCACTTTGCCAAACAAGGAAAGATTTCTTCCACTCCAATAAAATAAAGTTTCATTAATTTTATTGTCATCCCATTGAATGCTAGTATTTTTTCCTCTTACCGTTCCTGAAGTTTTTGGACTTCAATTTTCAAATTACAGATTTTTAAATTTATATTACACTATTCCAAGTAAAGCCAGCATAGTTATTTGATAGGATCTTAACCAAATGCCTTTATATTTGGTAGGATTGATCGCTGTTCAGAAGTCTGTTCAAATCTAGAAATATATCCTTTCAATACTGTTTACACTGGTGTGAACAAGGACAATGTCATCCGGGTATGAAAAATATTTAATTTCAGTGTTCCTGTTGTTTAGATGGCGAGACTTGCAGAACGAGGAGCTAAACCTTATAAAACTAGTGCCAACTGGCAGTTAGTAGGAAGATTTATATTGATATCTACTTAATTCTAATAAAACTGAACGTGATTGCGAAACTTAATACTACTTAACAACTAGACAGACAACGGGGAAAGGAAACGAACACAATGACAAGCTAGACGTGACGAAAGGACCAACTGAGACAAAAGATCAAACCCCAAAATTTATTATTATTATTTTTTTTCAACATTAACTTACTCACTAACTAAACTAACCTATCATAACCTAGGACGAACCTAACCAGACGACTAAAGCTAACAAACCCTACTCTAATTTAACCTAATCTATCATAACCTAATCGGAAAACAGGCTAAGAGTCCCTAATCTAACTTACAATTAGAACTAACCAAATTTAGACTGAAAAAGAAAACAGAAAAAAAAATTAAAATACAAAGTTGAAAGGCTGCCTTTCAACTTTGAATTTTAATTTTTCCGACGTTGAAACAAGGAAGGGAAAGCTAAATGCCATCTGTGCCCCTAGAGAGAGTTCTCTCAAGAGCCCTAAGGGATATGAATACGAATAGATGATGGAACATTGTACCCGTGTGAATGTGAGTGTAGGGTTGCAAGGCCAGTTGTACCCTTCAAGAAGAGCAGCTCTCATTAAACTATCCCTAATGTGAGTGTACTCTATTGCATC